TGTTCTCTTTTGCAAAACTTGCTAACAAATAACATACACAGATCACCCGTATCACTCGACTTTTTTTTTGTAAACGCGACATTTTAAGAAAAAATGCTTCAGGCAAAAGTTGCTTGTTTGAAGAGGGACATAAAACAGCGATAGCATTCTGTTTACAGATGACGCCACTTTCGAGATATTCACTGATCATTAATTTTCTTAAATGGAAATTCTACTTTTTTATTATATCACTTTTCTACCAATTAATTTGAACTTTTAATTTGAATTTTTTTGTCTGAAACATTTTTTTATTTGCCTAATATTTTTTGAGACATTTAAGGAAAATTCGGTAACTTTTCAATATTTAACTTACGATATCTCGCTATTTGTTAGAAGAAAAAATAGTACTAGACTTTTTTACTCTGTTTGGCCTTAAGAATATATTGTTACAACAATGCCCTATCTTTTGTTAACTGATCGACCTTTGAAAATTTCAAAATCATCAAATTAACAAAAGTTAGGGCGCTACTGTAACAATATATTCTTGAGACCAAATACAGTAAAAAGATCTAGTACCATTTTTTTCTTCTGACGAACAGTTAGCGAGATATCGTAAGTTAAATATTGAAAAAGTTAAATATTGAAAGAGTAGTTTTCCTTAAATATTTCAAAAAATATTAGACAAGTAAAAAAATGTTTCAGACAAAAGTTGTTAAAATTAATTGGTAGAAAAAGATGATATAATAAAAAATTAGGGTGTCTATTTAAAAAAGGTAATGATCAGTGAATATCTCGAAAGTCTCGGCGCCATCTGTAGACAAAATGATATAGTTGTTATATGTCCCCTTTGAAACCATACAACTTTTGTCTGAAACATTTTTCCTTAAAATGTTATGTTTACAAAAAAATTGAATGATACGGGTGATCTGTGACACCATGTATATATTATTTGTTAGCAAATTTTTTGCATAAAAATGAACACCTTCAACTATTAAATCGAAAATCCTTCTAAATCGAAAATCTAAACTGTCTTCAACTAATTTAGCTAATACATGAGTTTGCAATAGCTTTAAAGTTTGCGCAAAGACTTCCCCGGGCCATTCGATTATTGGATGATAAATCCTCGGATTTGTGAACATGTTCCCCGGAGTTTAGAGGAAAACTAAACACGACGGCATCGTGTTCAGCAAGTCAAAATCCTATAGAAATGATGTGTTTCGTTCGTTTCCCATGAATTCCCATTTCGTTTACCGTATATATGAAAGACGATATTACAAAAGTCCTCTATTTAAAAAATAAAAAAATAAAAATCGGTTGCCAATGTTGAGAAAAAAATCATCAAACATCGACCGAGTAAAGATAAAATCATCTGAAAACATCGATTAATTGAAAAAAAAAAAATATCGGTTCTTCTTTCAATTAATCGATGAAAATCGCCCATTTCTATTGCGTACAAGACGGCGATTGCATATAGCACGGTGACACCGCCGTACTGTAGCGCGGTGCGATTATGCGGCTACAATGAATTATCGTGCGCGTATTTCTTGCGAAAGAAACGTTGTGACATACCTCGGGCAAAAGCCAGAGGTTGCGGAATTAAAATCCGTGTACATTCCATCCCTGCGTGCGACGTAGGCGAGACAAACGGGAGAAAGGATTTAATCATTGCCGGTGTACATGCGCGACGCTGGTGTGTCGGTTGTTGCCCGACGCGATATTAACGCCAATCATAGCGCACTTCGGTTTCGCGGACAGGGTTTCATTACGGGTAGGGTGAGTCACTCGAGTTTTATCCATCTCCACCTCTAGATCTATGCTTGCCTACCTAGCTGAGGCAACCTCTGTAATATTGACAAACAAGAGCTGTCATGTGTCCATTCTCCTGGCATCAAACAGCATACAGAGTGAATACCTCGCAGCCGCAAAAAGATCGTTCGCGGGTCTTCACGAATCGTCGATTTTTTTTTTTCCATCATCGGGAACAAAAACAAAAGTACGCGCGGCTGCGCCTGCGGTTTTCGCGGTGGTAAGTGGTACGGCTGTATGCTGATGTGAGTTCGCTCCGTAGCGAGATTCATGCTCGCAAAATCCGACGACCGCGTTTCGTCGCCCATCGATTTGCGAAGGGAAAACCACCGCTGTCCGGCGGAAAAATTCTTCGTGGCGGTGCCGGCCAGGCCGTCTCCTTTAAAAATAGCCCGAAGGTCCTGTATACGAAAAACAATCGATACCTGCGATCCCGCCAGCAGGTTTCAGCCGTTTCTGGGGCGACGTCTCATTTAACGCCGGCGCCCGGTTGCGCGCTTCACGACCTGACGACGTGTCCCCCCCGCACGCGTGTGCGGTCGTCGTGCCTCGTCGTCGTCCGTGAGCCGCGCAATATGCGACTATCTCTCGAGAACGATGCGCGTCAGCTGATTCAGTTCAGCCGTATGAATGAACGAGCAGCCTGCCGACCGTGATAGTTCTCATCAATCATGCCTCGGCATCTCCGCTCGTGAGAGAAGAAGCAGATAGCGATGTTGATTTTCGCGATGATGCGTCCGACGACGCGAAAAACCATATCGTGCGCATGTTCCGCCCGACAATTTATGTCGCGTCTTCTCTTTTTCTCTCTTTCTCTCTCTCTCTCTCTCTCTCTCTCTCTCTTCTATCTTTGTCCAACAATGACGAACAATCGGCTGGTCGACATACGCTTCATGTCTCTACGCGTCTCGAACCGGGGCGATCGCTTCTTTGGACGATACAAACAAGACCTGGCCCGACCGTTCGCGGAGGTTTCATTCGATTAATTCGCGTCATCGCGGAGCACGCGATCCGACCGCGACGAACAAGTCCTAGGGGGTTTCGACTCGCAGTTGGCACACGTGCGCAGGTGGAGTGTGGTTTTTGCTAGGCAGTGGTGTGTGCTGCTGCTGCTGCTGGCGGTGGCGACGGTGGCGGCGGCGGCGGCCGCGACGACGGCGGCGGTAGCAACGGTGGCGGTGGTGGTGGTGGTGGTGGTGGTTTTTTGCGCCAACCGCGAGGTCTCTAGTGGTTTTTTCCTTCTTTTCTTTGGTACCCACCCGTGCCACGGGCTGGGACGGACAGAGACAGACGGGACGCGCGGCAGAAGAGGGACGAAGAAAGAGGTGGGGAGGGGGGTAGGGGAACAAGAGGAGCACGACACCCCGTATAGCCCCGCGTATCGGAAGAGAGCGTAACGCTGCCGCCGTCGCGAAAAAAGACAGGCACACGGGGAGTGTGGAAGGGACACTGGTGGGGGAAAACGAAGAGAGGAGCGAGAGGGAGAGAGAGCGAGCGAGCGAGCGAAGAGAAGGATGGGGAAGGGGGACCGGGACGGGAAGAGAGAAAGAGCAGTCGGATCGCGCTTCGCGCTCCTTCCAGCTGGCCTGGTACGCCGAAGGAGGCCTTGTCGCGCGGCTGTACGTTCGGTCAATGTCTTCTCTTTCTTCCTCGCTCTCTCCCTCCCTACCTCTTTTATTCCCCCTCTATCCCTCCCACCCTCTGCCTGCCGACCCTATGTCGTTTCTCCTCTCGTTCTTACTCTCGCTCGCTCTCTCTCTCTCTCTCTCTCTGCCGTTTCCTCGCGTCGCCCCGTTCCCTTCCCGCCTCCCGCTCTCTTTCATCGCTCTCCCCACCAACGGCAGCACTCCCGTGCTGCATCGCGCACACGAGACACGGGTGCTTGCTGCGAAATCCCTCTGTCATCTTGCGAACGCCCGTCCGCGGCTAGGATTATCCCACGCCGTGCGTTCGCGAGAGATCAGTTCGTCGCGCTCGCGATTCGTCATCGTCATCGTTGTCGGCGGAGAGTCGCATAGCGAGTTCGACGATACCGGAGGATCGCCGGTATCACCTCTCCCTGCCGCGGCCGAAGAGAGAGAGAGAGAGAGAGAGACAGAGAGCGAGAGCGCAGCGCGCAGTGCGTTCGGAAATATGTGCACTGGCATCGCGGCAGCTTGAAGGCGCCGACGGAGAAGGAGGCGTTCACTCACCGCCGTTGACCACGTACAGCTTTTTCCGTCGGCCGCGCGCAACAGCGTGAAAGTTTCGTGATCGCTTCGTCTGTCCGTCTATTCGTTCGTTCGTCGCGGACTCTCCTCTGATTCGTCGTCTCGATCACTGCTGCTGCTGCTGCTGCTGCCGCCGCCGCCGCTGCCGCTGCTGCTGCTGCTGCTGCTGCCCACCTCGCCACTGTGGTCGAGCTATTTCTCGCGGCGGAATATACCGTCTCTTCGGTCGGATCGCCGTGCCAGTGTGTGTTTACAGCATACGTGTCAAGTGCGTTCTTCTTTGATGCGTGCGCGCGATAGGAGCGAATCTCGACCGTGGAATCCGTGGAGCATGGCGCTCTCGGCGACGTAGTCGGTGTCATCGTCACCGTGCGTTAGGGTAGGATCGCGCGGGCGCGAAGAATGAAACTCAACACCCGCGGATTCGCGAGCGAGATACCAGTGACTTTGAGAAATTCGATAGCGCTGACGCTTCGCACTTGTGTCGCGAGTGCAGGTGGGTATGCTCGCCGTTTATTCGTGGGTTCACTCGGGGACGTGGTCGATCCGGCGATGTCAAAGCAGCGCTCTTTAAATGCGATGAGGGACCGATGAGTGACGCCGATTTCTGCACGGGTCAATATCATTTTCTTTTTTGCTTTGTCATGTCGCGTAGGACGGCGGGAACAATGATGTGACATTTGGAATGAAGGTTTGCACTGAAAAGAGAAAATTGCGATTATGATGGCGGATACGATTATTACTGCTTGTTATTGTAAATGCTGCTCCTATGTGTGTTCTTGATATTTCCTACACACACACACACACACACACACACACACACACACACACACACACACACACACACGCACGCACGCACGCGCGCGCGCGCGCGCGCGCGCGCACACATACACACAATGTGAACTGGACAATAGAATTGAGATATAAAGATAACATGAAACTTGAGTGTACAAAATATATTTGTAAAGTGTGATGTTTCATTCTGTGCCTCTTCTTTGTTTGCAGAGTGCAATAAAGTTAGCTGGTAAAAATAAGAAACTGCACACACTGCTATCGATAGTGGAAGAGAAGCCAAAGGTGGATACCGGGCAGAACAATAGGCACAACGAGCACCACATCAAAAACAATTTCAAGCACAACCATTACACACATAATTCCATACTGACACCCTCGACGCTAAACCAGGTAACTGAGTAATCCTTAGTCTGTGTCGAGTAGATAGTTTATGTCATACAGTAAGAAACGATGTATAACGGTAATGTGTCGGTTTATTTTTGCAGGGCCTAGATGCAGGTACAAGCGACGATAGTGGCAGAGCGTCTGAACAATTGCATGGCCCTGGTATACCTAGGGATAGCCAGGACGCAGACAGTTCCAGGGACCATCTCAGCGATGTAAGCTCCTTGTACTTGTACAATTATATAAATTAGCAGTCAAGTATAAATGATGGCATTATATCACCTACCAGTATATAGAATGTACCTGGTATTCAAATGGAAAAATATATTTCTTAGAGGCAATGATAATGTTAATACAAAAAAGCTGCAAGGTAAATTACTTGTTCATAGATTTCTATTGACAAATCTGCTTATGTATTGTAGGCTAGCAGTCATTGCAGTTCGGGTAAAGGTTATATCGTAAGTATCATGCATTAAGTCAAGCAGTTTAGATCTTAAATTGTACATTGACACTGTAACTGTGATAAAACTGTGATATTAACCGGATTATTGTTTCTTCATTTCAGTGTGATAGTGAAGGAGAAGACGATAAGGTATGTTTATCTCGAGATGTTTCAATACAGAAACAGATAATCTGTTGTTGCTAATAATTTCTTTTTTGTTTTTTTTTTATGTAACAGGGCTCGGATGCCGAATCGATACTCTTTGAATCTTCTACCCCACCACCTCTACGTAAATGTGAGTAGTGTTTTTAAAAACAACAATTATATCGTTATTTGCGCAAGAAAAGAAAAGAAAGAAAGGAAAAGAGATTATCACTTATCTTGTGACATGTTATTTTTTGTTTTCCACTGTTTAGACGAGTTGCCGTCTTCTTCGCCACACGTTTTGCCACCAAACGGGGCAGGCGGATCTCCACCGGATACGGGTGGGCAAATTTCTAACCCAGCAACGGATGCTCCGGCACCTATACCACCTCCTGTGTCTGCGTCTGCACCAGTTCCAACAGCGCCGAGTCCTCCCAGCCCCACGTTGCCTCCACACATATCCCAACCACCTGTAAGTGACCACCTTACATCGCAAAAACTCATTCTACTCACGCATATCTATACACATGTGTATTACGTAGGAAAGGATTAACGCTCGTTGATAATGTACTGTTTCAGATGACTAGTCCCTTGGCAGCGAACCCACGTGCAATAGCTCCGCAGCAGCGGCCAGCTTCCCCCGCTCTGCCACCGCCCTCTTTGTCCCAGCAGCCGCACACTACGATACCTGCGTTGCATCCACCTAATGTGCCCCTCGTCTCGTCGAGTCATACAACTAGTCCAGCGGTAGCCAGTCTAGGAGTCACTCCGGCAGCACCATCGAACGGAGCAGCTACCACGAGTTATCCACCACCCATCCCGATAGCTGCGTATCCGCAAACACAGCCGTCGTATCCGCCGCTCTACACCCCCTACACCGCTCTGAATCACAGCCCGTACCTCCCGCCCGCGGTACCATCCCCCTCACACTCTGCATCGTCACGCGCGGATGTGGTAAGTCGCACTTGCTGTCGCGTTAACATCGTTGTCGACCGCGCGTCGTTTTTATCATGAGTATTATTTGACTCGCTAACGACGATGATAATAATCGCGTTTCAGAGAGGAAGTAGAGCTTCCCCCTGTACCAATATAAGCAAACAGACCATAGCGAATAATCTCGCCAGCCACAACAATACTCCATTGAGCGCCGCCACCACAACATGTGTGTCCACCATAACTAACACAGTTACCACGGCGAATTCCATCGCTCATCGAGACATGGTGGCCTGCAGCCTGTCAGGACGGAACAACAACTCGCCGCGTGGGCATAGTCCCAGTCGAGAGAGAGATAGTTACAGGTATCAATCTCATCCTCCGATCGACAGGCTCTGTGCGGTCGCGTCGATCTCGCGGATCCGAGTTGCCGCAAAAAAGGGGGTTAAGGATTAACAGCGAGTTCTTACATTGCAATGTTCGTTACAGCAGCAACGTGAGCAGCCTAAGCCGGGGCAGCATAACGCCCGTTAGTGTGCCAAACACCTCCTCTCCAGCCAATTCTAGTCTACCTGCATATACCAAGCCACAAGGTTGGATCAGGTAAGAAGCCGGCATGAACGCGACTTTGTTCGATAGATGACGACGCAGTTTGAGAAATAACGAAGAATCATTTCTTTTAATAATGTCATTGAACGGGCTGATAAGAGAGTCATACTCTGGCTTTTGTGCGACATTAAGTTCAGCAGAAAGAACGAATGCCGATAGATTGTACATACAATCGTTTCTCTTATTTAACAAAATGCAGCAGCAACACAGCTTCCCAGTTATCCCCGGCAACAGCCACGTCCGTTCCGAGGCCGACCCCGCCACCGGTGCCGCTGGGCATACACTCGTTCCCGCCGCCGATGTTCGCAGCACCGTTACCGCCACCCGTGTCCAGTGCAAGTCCGCATACGACGACACTGCCTTCACTCCCACCACCGACGACCAATCCCAATCCGTTTTCCGCGGAATCGCTTTTCCAGACAAGTAAGTCTATAAGCCAACCTTTTTCGTTCGTGACGCTTCGTTATCCATCTATTTGGACACGGGCAGATTATAAACGCGCTAACCAAAAGAAGGGGTGACGCATGTTACAGGCCAGGCGGATATTCTCAGGCGAGAACTCGACAACAGATTCTTAGCGTCCCAGGACAGAAATGTCGGAGTTGGTAATTTGGGTCCACCGGCGTATCTTCGCACCGAGATGCATCATCACCAGCATCAGCACACACACGTGCATCAACACACAACGCCATTGTTGCCAGCTGCTGCAGCGACATCGCTCTTCCCTCCCCCAATTGTAAGGAGCAATTGATTGTTAGATTGTTACTATTTGAAAATACCGAGGGTGTGATGTGCAACACTAAGAACACCGAGATGATGTAATTATTGTTTCTGTTTCTAACAGTTTAAGGACATTCCGAAGCTGGGAGGAGTCGAATCGCAATTTTTTCGTGCGAATTTGAACCTCTCTGGTTATTCGGGTTTCAACACTGGCCTTCTTCATCCAGGAATCCCACCGTCGACGCCTTTCGTGCAGCCCAATCATTTAACTACGTTTGCGCCAAAGGTACGTTAAAGAGCACAAGGATAATGACTGCGTAATGTTAACTATCCTACAATAATTCTACTGGTTTCTCTCATTCGTATTTCGTGGGTCTTACGTACTTAATAGAGAGATGTACGAATCAAGAATATTTACGTCGAATCGAATCTGTGAAATTTCATTCGAACTCGAATCGAATCGAATCATTAAAAAATTTAACATGACTATTAAACATGCAAATAATGACGGAAGATTTTAATATGAAAGGGAATGTTGATATTGTAATATCATCTTAAAGTAAAATATATATTTGAATATTTAAAGTAATTTATAATTAAGTTATTAATTATAAGTTAAGTTAATTCAAACATACAGGCCCAGACGGCCTGTTTTGTAGCTGATGCGCGCAGACGCTAATGTATTTCATTTGTATTCGAATCTTTACGATTCGAAATTTTCGAATTGTTCGGATTCGAATCGAATCACATTAAATTCGATTCGAATTCAAATGGTTCGCACACCTCTAGTATAATTACTTAATAAACGCGATCGATATTTCGGCATTGCAGAAAAGTGGAAAATGGAATGCGATGCACGTGCGCATTGCGTGGGAAATATATCACCATCAGCAGAAGCAACAGGCCGAAGCTAAAGCAGGAAGTGTCGTTAATACCAAAACTGAGTTGTTAAGACCACCAGGCCATCTTTATCCAGGGGGACCAGGCGGTGGTCTTGGACTTGGTGCACCACCAATGGCACCTCCATTCCCCACTAACATGCCACCCGCCCATCCTGCACCACCTCCACCTCATCCCGTTGGTTTTCTGTCTACACCAGCTTCACATTTAGGTAATAGAGGTAACAAAGTTTCACATATTTATTCACGTATGCACGTTCATGTTCCTTCGATCGAACGGACTGCATTACGATGTCTGTATACCAGTATGCGTCAGAGCGTCAATTGCAATCTTGTATTGCAGGAACAGGAATATCTCCATTCGCGAGGTATTCCTCGGCGACATTTGGCGCGCCGAATCCAAACTTCCCGGGTCTTTCCACTTTCCCGCCGAGAGAAATGCCTCTGGGTGGACTCAGTGCAGTACACGACCCATGGCGAGGGTATGTAGAATTAATATTAATCAGTCATTGTTGTCATCTTTTGTGTGTATGTGTGTGTGTGTGTGTGTGTGCGCGTGCGTGCGTGCGTGTGTGTGTGTGTGTGTGTGTGTGTGTGTGTGTGTGTGTGTGTGGTGCGTGGTGGTGGTGTGCGCGCGCGCGCGCGCGCGCGCGCATGTGTAAGTGTAAAGAATACGTTTTTGCTCGGCCGATTTCACCGTTTGTTTACCTGGCGAACGAAAATTCACGTAAAGAATATATATCCATTAACGGTTCCATTTCAGGTTACAACGGGCCACTACCGGATTCCCTCCGCCGACCACTGTTTCATGGGGTTTGAAGCCGGAACCTCCCGCGATAGACAGGCGCGCTGAGCTGGAGGAGCGGGAGCGTGAACGCGAACGTGAGAGAGAACGTGAACGTGAACGCGAGCGCGAACGAGAGCGCGAGCGCATCAGACGCGAACGCGAACGGGAGAGAGAAGAACAACGTGAGCGGGAGAGGAGGGAGCGTGAGAAGGAGGAGAAGAGAAAACAGCAAGAGGCCGCCGAGCGAGAGCGAGAGAGGCGAGACAAGGAGCGCCGTGAGATGGAGAGACGCGAGATGGAACGCGAGAGACTGCTTCACCAAAACCGACAGCTCGTGCCCCGAGAACGCTCGCCACTCAGGAACGGCTCGGCGCCTTTAGACACCGGAGAAGTGCGCGTGAAGGAGGAGCCGCGCAGCAAGGACGACGAAGTTGTAATGCTGCCGAGGCCTCCAGGACCCGGGCCTGGCACGGCGGGAACCGCACCAGGACCTGGCCCGAATCCACTGCCGGACCCGAGATACCATCACTCACACCCGCATGCTTATCTCACCAGGCATCCGCACAGTATGCCAACTTCGCATTCCATGCCACGTAGCATGCTACCCGGCTTGAGCGCTCATACGATGCAGCACTTTCCACCGCCATCCGCGCCCGCCGGTCAACCGGGACCACCCTGGCCGGGCGATCCCTTCAGGGATTATCGATACGATCCGCTGCAGCAGTTGCGATACAACCCATTGATGGCGGCGTTCCGCGCCGAGGAGGAAGAAAGAGCAAAGCTTTATGCCGCTGGCTACCCTCCCGCGCCCGTCAACTCCCTCAGGAGTAAGGATCCTAGTCCGGGTCCTCTCAGCAACTTGCACATGCATCACAGAGCGGGACCTGGCCCGGGAGTACCGCCGCGTCAACTGGAGAACGCCCTCATGCACGCGGACATCCACAAGAAAGAGGACGCGTCGCAGTCCCGATGATACATCCTACCCGCGTCCTCGGTTTCGGCGAGCGAACGCACCGACGGACCGACATTCTGAGCACCATTCTCCTCGTCGCCACCTCCGCTACCTACAGGGGCCCCCTCCCCTCCCCCCTTTCGCCCAGTAACGCTCAGAACCCGGTGCTGATATTTTGCTAACAGAGAAGAAGCATTATTTAAAAGAAGAAAAATTGTACATAGATACTATATAATATTTATAGTTATCTAGAAGATAAAAAAAGGAACAATACGCGTAGGACTTCTACGGAAACGAGAAGCGTGTATAACGAAGATGCCTTGCTTAAACGATGCCGGTATACCATCGATACCGGCGGTTTACTAACGACAACGGGTTCACGAAATAACTACGGAGGCATCGTTGATGATGTATCACAAATAATAACGCTGACGGTTATGTGATTTTCTGCAGTTTCGGTGATCTGACTGTCTATATAGTGGTAACGAACTCTAATTATTACGATAATATAATTATGCGTATAGTTAAAAAAAAAAAAAGAAAGGTATCGTGTGTAATATTAATAGTTACTGTAGAATGCGAGGCGAGATGGCCAAGACGCGTAAACGATGAAAAAAAAACAAATTCAGGTTAAGTGAAAAAGAGTTAAGTGGATCTCTAACATTATTCGAAAATTTATTTAACTATTTATTTATTGCGACGTATAAATGAACTTGAATCTCTACTACGGGCGTATGAAAGCTGTCGTAAAAGAGTCGCTCTAATTTAATTGATGTAATATAAAAAGAAGGATCACATGTGTAAAAAAAATTTCACTTAGATTTTAATTTGTATATTAGATACTATAGAAAAAGAATTAAGAGAAGGAGAGAGGGCATACGTGAAAAGTGTCTTTGGCTTTCGGCAGCACATGCTTCTTTCATTTGCATGCTGGCTACAGCGGTACTCCGATGCTTTCCTGTGATATATATAAAAAAAAAAAGAAAAATGAGAAATTGATTCAGGAGTAGCGAAACCAATTAATTTCATATCGTGAAATCACAAAGTTAATAGGTGCAAATATAAAAAAAGAATCAAACTATCTCCGAAAAATAAAAGTGACGACGATCGGGATATCCTCTTTCGGAAAAGCAAGAACGCAGGATGACGCTTAATATGACAGTAGTCCGTGCCAAAATGCTCCAGTCAAATTGTTACCCCGTACAATGTACACAGACCGGCATAACAACTTTAACATTCACTGGGTCTAGAATCACTGGAATCCTTCAGTCGTATGCATTGTTTATCATATATTATATTCGCGCACCGTGACTATCGATTATTCGAAGAAACTGAAACGATAACCAAATAGAATGTTATTTGTGATGTAAATTGCATACCACGTGATACGTGAGGTATCGTTGTGATTTCCTTGAATAATCAATCCGTAATACTTGTGTAAATTTGTCTGTGTGCTTGTGCGTTAATGACTCTGAAACTGTTTTCTCCCTTTTCTTTTTTATTCGTCGTTATCTTTACGAGAAAATTATACCAATCTTGTTTTACTCCCCTCATTTTTTTTCTAACTATCCTCTTGATTCTCAGCCATATGCGTCGTTGTGTTACCAGAGAGCCAATATGAGATCTCTCAAAAAAAAAAATTGTGTGCCATGGACCAGGTTACATTCGATATCCCTGGTGCCTCAAAGGAAAAACCGGACTTTTCAGGATGATTGGGTCCTCACGCTGTTTCGTTTATACTGTAAAATTATGGTAAAACTGTATATTATATAATTAACAACTATACGCAATTTAAAAATTGTAGATATTTTTCATCGATGCAAAGTTGCAATGTGATGCAATGATTCTGTTCTTGTAGATATCGTGAAGTATAAAAGAAGATTTTGTGTGAATAGGTTTTTTCTAAAATTGATTCTTTGTAAAAGGTGATATAATAATCATAGTTTCTATCAATTCTGTTGTTTCAGTATCTCTTCACCACAATCCAAATACTTACAAATCTTTTCGCAAGCAACAAAGAGAAACGCACTACAAATTAACTAAAAATTAACACAAACTACACAAACAGTCAGTAAAGCGGTTCTTTCTTTTTTATATTATTCTAGTTTTCTATTCGAATTATGTGTCAGAGTACTTCTCTGTGTAACAATGTGAACAATTTTTGTCATTTTCAAAATATTTTATTTGTTATCGCTTAATTACGTAAAAGAGATTTTCGATCTACTGTACCTCGTAATTAATTCTTAGGATGTCAGTCTCTTGAGCCAAAAATACCAACTTTTTTAAAAAAATATTTTTTTCCATCTTGATGGATTTCCAATACTCGATATATATACACAACAGTGACGGATACATTACGACACATACACTTTTTCTTTTTCTTTGTAAAATCTTAAGATATTAAGTACAAAATGTCATTAAGTTTTGTGAAATTCGTGTATTTCAAATATTAACCTATATTAATTTTTGTTGATTTTGATGGAAACTTAAAAATACCGTGATATTTATAAACATAATCATCCGCGTGTGTAGTCATAACTATTTAGAGAAAAATTATGTTATATCTTTAATATAGATATGTGACCAATATTGATCACGCTTAATTCATTACATTTATTTTGTATATACAAAGCAAAAGGTGTGTTATCGCGAACTACTCGAACTGGATCTTGTGTAACGGCGATGTCGATGTCGCGGATTTCCCTGTGGACTTCGTGATCGGGTCCTTATCCTGCGTCGTGGTGGTCGCGGACTTCTACGACGATTCATCGGCGGTGAACGTCTGCGATAACGTGGTGGTGTATTTCTGCCACCACCTGCCCATCGTGGGGGAGCACGTCTACCCATACCCGGTGACATACGTCTCATCGGCAATGGCCGTGGTTTCGGCAATAATACTGGCGCGGCTGTGATTTCCTGGCCATCTATTTGCCCTGTGTGTAATGAATCGATATATATTAGTAAATTGAGATAAAAAATAACTCTGGATATTAATTCAATACTGAGCATACTTACCTCCATCCATGTGCTTCATAGCATTTTCAGCCTCGTCTGCAGTTTCAAATTCAACGTAGGCAAATCCTCTTCCCTGATTCGGGTGTAACTTGTCCATTGCAAAATCCACCATTTTTATTTGGCCATACACCGAAAATATCTCGGTTATGTGCTCCTTTGTGACATTTCGCGTTAAATGGCCGATATGTATCTTTGTCGGTCTAGGAATTGGCGAACGTTCCCTACGCTTTCTACGTGGGGAAGGAGATCTACAAAATTTCATTTGTGTACATTATTATAAGTGAAAAATTAAACTATCATTCATTAATACATCCTGTGCCATATTTATCTTGTAAGCTATTTTATGTTGCTTTTTTATTTTGATAATTAATCTTATAATTTTATAAGTATACTTTAAAAGATATATTTTACTAGGCACAAAATGCATGAATTGACATGATTGGCATGATTTTCACTAGTTTGAAAAGACCAAGAGTTATAAGTTTGTAGATAGTCAATAAACTTACCTAGATCGTCCTTTAGGTTTGGGTTTGTCAGGAACAGAGTTGCTTCCCTTTTTCTTTTCCTTTTCTCTATCCCGTTCTCTGTCCCTATCTCTGTCCCTCTCTCTTTCTCTTTCTTTGTCCCTTTCTTTTTCTTTATTTTCATGTCTTCTGGATGCATCAACACTCTTGCTGCGACTGCGTTTTCGTCCTCTGTCTCTGGAACTACCTGAAGAGCTACCAGAACTGCTAGATGAACTACTGGAAGTGGAACTTGATCTGGAGCTACTTCCACTGCTAGAACTTGATGATCCAGAACTGCTATCTGATGAACTATTAAACAAAATATTTCATTACACATTCATATACACATAAACGCATATGTACACACACATATACAATATATGCACATTCATATATTGAACATAGTACACATATACGTGTATAAAGATGTATCGTAGCAGCCACATACACAGCACACATATACATACACCATCATATAATTCACACACATTTACATAAAAGACTACAAGCAATCATGTAAGACGAAATAACTTGCACTTTTCTTTACTTACCTACTACCACTACTAGATGAAGATGCTGCTCTCTTTTTACGTTCTCTTTCTCTGCCCCGTTCCTTTTTATTCTCCTTATCAGTAACTTCCGAGTCACTCTTGCCCGTACTATCCTTGCGGCTTCGTGCCCTGAAAACAGAAACAGCGGCATAGAGGAAACGTTCAAAACTGAAAGGATATTTACGCGACTGGTGTTAATGGTGCGATAAAAAAGAGACTCACATAACTAGCAGTGATTAGATTTACTAATCGTGTCCCAGTTTGCACTCAAAAGCTTACAAGAAAAATCAGTAGTACGGCGGCACGCCGTATAAAGCATATAATGGCGGATCGTTGAAATACGAAGCCGACTGCGTCCTCAACGACACGCGATGAACCCACTTAAGCCCGAATCAAACTGCAGACCGGCTCGAAAGATAGACTCCCACTGAAATTTAAGGTGAATCTCGATGAAGCGAGAAACAGCGGAACGGAACAGTTACGGAAAAGAGATATAGTGGGGAGTCAGCCAATCAGAGTAATTCCCATAGACGTATAATATCTAGACCGCGCGGTCGCAAATTCTCCCTTTGCTAGACGCGTCAGAAATTAAAAAGAGATAGTTGCTGTACGGGTACTAGAGATCCTTAGACACTTGGTCTGTTCTTTTTAGCTGCACTACTGAACTGGTGCAATAAGTTAAAGTGAGAAAAAATATAGTTGTCTCATTCTAACTTATTGCACTAGTTCCGTAGTGCAGCTGAAAAGAACAGATCAAGAGGGTCTCTTCTTTATAGCTGCACTGCTGAACTGATGCAATAAGTTAAAATGAGACAACTATATTTTTTCTCACTCTAACTTATTGCACTAGTTCAGCAGTGCAGCTATAAAGAACAGACCCAGAGATCGGCCGATGAGTGAACGATTGCTGATTGGCTCGCGTCGCATGGGGTAAAATCGGAAGTGAGAGAGAAAGATATAGGCCAGGGTGTCCCAAATGTAACGGGCCACCCTCATAACTCTTTAGTATTGAAGTTTCAAGGAAAATGATCTGAACAAAAGTTGTAGGGATTTAAGTGAGCTACCTTATGATGACTTTGACTTTGACTTCGACCTCTATTTTCAAGGTCATTTGAAGGTCAACTTGCGTTTTTTAAATGGGAACACTTATTTTTTATTACAATGTTTTTTTCTACTAGTTAATTTGATAGTATAGTAGTAGCGCCTTGACTTTTGTTAACTTACTGATTTTTGGAAATTTCAAAATCATCAAATTAACAAAAATCAGGGTGATATTGTAACAACATATTCTTGAGACTAAATAAAGCAAGAAAGTCTAGTACCACTTTTTCTTTCGATAAATAATTAGCGAGATATCGTAAGTTAATATTGAAAAAGTTATTAAGTTTTCCTCAAATATCTAAAAAAAATATTAGACAAAAAAATGTTTTAGACAAAAGTTGTTCAAATTAACTAATAGAAAAAACAGTATAATAAAAAATAAGGGTTCCCATTTAAAAAACGCAAATTGACCTTCTAATGAGCTTGAAAGTAGAGATCAAGGTCATCATAAGGTAGCTCACTTAAATCCCTACAACTTTTATTCAAATCATTTTCCTTGAAACTTCAATACTGAAGAGTTATTTGAGGTGGGACATTAAAATGGGATATCCTGTATACTTATCTAGTAACACATATATAATTATATACAGGATGTTTGAAAGCTTATCATGCAGACGAAAGTTGGAGATAGATTGGGTGTAGCCGAGAATAAAAGTCATGTACCATAATGTCAAATTGGCAATAGTTATCAAGTTATTAATTGAAACATGTGAGCCAATGAGCGCGTAGAGAGCGCTGGGCGGCCGCCTCTTGTCGCTTGCGCTCGCTCGCTCGTCGTTCGTGCTCGCTTGCTCCTCGTCGCGCGCGCTCGCCTCTTGTCGCTTACGGTTGCCCCTAGCCGCGCGCGCTCGCCTATCGACGCTCGTTGACTCCGCCTATATCAAATGTCTACGTACTTACCGCGGCCGCCCAGCGCTCTCTACGCGCTCATTGGTTCACATGTTTCAATTAATAACTCGATAACTATTGCTAATTTGACATTATGGTACATGACTTTTTTTCTCGGCTACACCCAATCTATCTCCAACTTTCGTCTGCATGATAAGCTTTCAAACACCCTGTATAATCATATATATAACTATACAAAATTATAGAGAAATATATAAAATTATGTATGTCAAGTTATTATATAATTATATATAATGTTATATGAAAGCACCTCAATTTATATATGATTATACTAGGTGCGCAACTAAGTTTCCGGGTTTTTTTAATCAATGAAAAATGGAAAATTTCAAGAGAAATACAAAAAATGGTTTATTCAAAGTATCGTCCCTCGCTAGCTACACATTTTTGCCATCTCTCTGGCAATACATGAATACCGCGACGATAAAACGACGCGTTTTTGGACCGAAACCATTCATCCAACCAATTTTGTACTTCTTCGAAATTGGCTAAGTGTTGCCCAGCCAAGCCATGCGCCATCAACCAGAACAAGTGATAATCGGAAGGGGCCAGATCTGGTGAATACGACGGATGCGGTAGCAGATCCCATTTCAGCATTTTGATGGTGTCCTGGACGATGGAAGTGCGATGGCATGGAGCGTTGTCATGCTGCAATATCACTCGTTCGTGTCTCGTTGTCCCATTCTGGCCGTTTTTCGAGCAATGCATGATTCAAATTGATCAGTTGTTGTCGGTAGCGATGCCTATTGACAGTTTCGCCCGGCTTCTTTTCAGCAGCTCATAGTACACGATTCCTTTTTGGTCCAAACGCAGAGCATTGTCTTCTTTCCGAAGCGATTTGGTCGTGTCGTTGATGTTGATGCTTCGCCAGGTGAAAGCCACGATTTTTTGCGATTTTCGAAATATACTTATAATAATCGACGGTTGTTGGTTCATTTCTTACTGCTTACGCTTACAACTTTATTCTTGTAGCCATTGTAGAATGACCTTAAGGCCTGGTCTACAATACGTGTTGTAAGCTGTAAGCCGTAAAAACTGACCAATTATGGTCGATTATTTTTGTAATAATTGACGGTGATTCGCCAATTCTTACGGCTTATAACTTACGACACATATTGTAGACCAGGCCTAACACTTTGTAACTAGTAGTTGCCATTCTTCGCAACTCGCAATTGAGTATTTGCAACCTATTCTGGACCAGCCTTTAGGGTCTCTAGTACCCGTAATTCGCGGACATAATAGTTTGTGCCCGTTTTTTTGCAACTTTCGGAATGCATCCCGACTCAAGAAGAATGAGAGTCAATGGGTGCATTCAGTACTACAACCGCTCACTGAGCGCTAAGTGAGCTCTTGCATCTGATTGGTGTATATTTTTAAATCTAAAAGAATATACCAATCAAATGTAAAAGCTCATTGAGCGGTTGTAGTACTGAATGCACCCAATGACTACGTTTACACGGCAAGGTTAATCCGGATTAGTAATAACCGTAGTTAGTGAATTCTTTGATTCGATTGGTATTCTTTTAGATCTAAAAATATACTCTAATCGGATTCGAGACTGCACTAACTACGGTAGTTACTAAGTCGAAGTTAGAAGCTGTGTCATGAAACGTAGTCATTGCTTCGCCTACGTAGCACGTCTGCGTAGTGATTCACAACGAAAGGCGAGAAATGAAATATACGCGATGGGATATATTATAATAATACAGACTCAGATGAAATGAATACTCCAGCATTAAATGGAAACGAGGGAACACAGGACAGACAAGATCATCCGATGTAAATCTTATACTCCGGGGAACATCCGAAAAAGGTAGAGATAAATAGACATGTTTATGTTTTTAAAACAATACGAACTTAATTAAGAGAATTAAGCTGCATTACGATAGTTACGATTCTGTTATACATTTATATGTGATTTATTGTTTCAGCAACAGCCATCTTCTATAGCAGAAGCAATGGCTGCGTTCAGAAAACACAATGGTTACACAACGGTTGAATAATTCGTCAACGTTATTGGTCTGAATGTAAGGATCTAACAGTAAGGACCAATAGTTACTAAGCGCTCAGTGAGCGCTTTGTTTTCTGAACGCAACCAATAATATTAGATACAGGCTGCGTTCCGATATTCACTGCCAGTACTGAAAATCTATAATATATGTGACATAAAGTATATATTTTCAATACTGGCAGTGAATATCGGAACGCAGCCACAAAAGCAGCTGTTATAGCGAATTTTGAATTTTTGAGACATACAGACATGGACATGGAAGAGGAAGAAGGAGATGGAGAGGATGAAATTTATGAATAAATAAATAATAAATAATAAATGTATAACAGAATCGTAACTATCGTAGCTTAATTCGTGCAGCTTAATTCTCTTCATTAAGTTCGTATTGTTTTAAAAACATAAACATGTTTATTTATATCTACCTTTTTCGGATGTCCCCCGGAGTATAAGACTTACATCGGATGATTCTTGTCTGTCCTGTGTTCCCTTATTTCCATTTAATGCTGGAGTATTCATTTCATCTGAGTCTGTATTATTATAATATGTCCCACCGCGTATAATTGACTACATTTACACGACAAGGTTAATCCGGATTAATAACAACCGTAGTTAGTGAATTCTTTGATTCGATTGGTATATTCTTTTAGATCTAAAAATATACTCTAATCGGATTCGAGACTGCACTAACTACGGTAGTTACTAAGCCGAAGTTAGAAGCCGTGTAAACGTAGTCTTTCATTTCTCGCCTTTCGTTGTGAGTCACTGCGCAGGCGTGCTTCGCAGGCGGAGCAATGAATCTCAATGGCTGTGTTCAGAAAACACAACGGTTACGCAACGGTTGAGTAATTCGTCAACGTTATTGGTCTGAATGTAAGGATCTAATAGTAAAGACCAATAGTTACTAAGTGCTCAGTGAGTGCTTTGTTTTCTGAACGCAACCATTCTTCTCGAATCGGGATGCGTTCCGAAAGTTGAAAAAAAACGGGCACTCATTATTATGTCCGCGACCGTACTACGGTAGTCCCCTCAGTAATGAGATTCATAATTCATAATTGTAATTTCCTGTCTATATAAAGAAAGTAACTATAAGTAAGTATAAGTAACTATAAGTAAATAGAATCGTGCATCATCGGGCTATTTCGATTGTCATCCGAAATGCTGGAAATAGAAAGACCTTCATAGCTCTTTCTATATCAATTTCCTCACCTTTACGAGACAGTTTATATAATGACGTGTGTACGTTCTCTAGTTTCAGGGTGTCTGTATTCTTGCTAATGTTATTAATGAGTGGTAAAGTAAGTGAAAATTCATATGAATTTAAAAGAAATTATGGGTAAATATTATTTTATATTATATTGAATATATATATACAGGGTGTTTGATAGCTGTTCATGCAGA